GAAACCTAATCTCCCTCAAGGGCAGTGTACTTGTTGCATAGCAACCAAATCTCTTGCCCATCAGATTTTGAGCAGAGTTGGAAACAGCAGTGCCCCACTCAAAGATGGGGGCCAAGTGCACTGCTTTGAATGTACGTAACTTTCCATAGTCCTGCCAATAATCCAATCTCACCGATCAGGCTCCTTAAAGGGCTCACTATGCTTCTTTCAAGTCTCTTATTCCAGGGCTTTGACTTGTACTTTTTTCCCTTCCGGTTCACCCAAATTGTAAAAATTTGGGTCTGCTCCGGTTTCACTCCCTTGGCCATGACTGAACCAGGTGGAACCCATTGGATGCCCTGGTTAACCTTAATAGAGCTAAAGTAGGCTTTTGTGGGCCAGCCTTGGAACCAACCACTAATTATAACATTGTTTGTCTGGGAGAAATGTCTCCCAAGTACAATGCCCTTTTGAAAGTGACCCATTTGTAAGTCAGAGGGGGCTGAATTCTGCAGACCTGGGAAGTGGTGCCCAGGCTGGAAGGAGGACAGAAGCTGATCAGGTTCTGAGCCTAGAGCCCCATTCCCATCTGCACACTGCAGCCTTCTGCATCCGGGCCACGAGGGCGGTGGGCAGGCCTCTCGGCCCTGCATCTTACTCACACCCCACCACCCCACGGTTAGGGGCTGCTCCTTGGGGCCAGCCTATGCAAGGGTCCAGGATATATGTCCAGCATGGGGTGCTGGCCAAGGGAGAGAGTGTGGAAGAGGGTCATGAGCCCAAGTTATACTGAGGCCTACGGAGCCAGGCTTGAATCGTTCAGTATTCTCACCTTGGCTTCCAGATGGTCCAGCCGTATTCCCGTGTTTAAGCTTTTCTCCTGGGTCCTGCTGTGACTGTAGTCCGCTCTCCTATTCTGGTCCCAGCCCCTCATAACCCATGCCTCCCTGCCCCCAACTGCTGGCAGGGAGGGCCAGGGAGCGGGCGTGAAGGAAAGGCAGCTAAGGAACTGCAGCCGAGAGCCACCTCTACCTCTGCACAGATGTTCCTGCCTGTTCAGCTCAACAATCAATCCTGGTGACTGAGGAATTGAGAAGACCAAAACACAGTCCTGGGTCTTTAGGACCTCCCTGTTGGGGTGGGGGGCACATAGAGAAGGAGAGAGAGACGTTCTGGGCAGCCAGTCCTCTTGTTCCATTTTAGGGACCTGTGCCAGGCCTTGGAGAGTTTAAGAACCATAGAGTAGTTGACAATCGACAAAGCTGCTTTGGGGAGCATGCTTGTCTCTGAACACCAGGGATGAATTACCCTATAAGCAAGGTAAGCATGTGCTTAGGGCGTCAACAAAACAGGGGTAACTAATTGTCCAAAGCAAAGACTCATAGATGCCCAACAGACAGGACACAAGGAAAAGCCAGCACACAACAATGAAGAAAGTCTTGAAGACTCAATTCACTATTCTTATGATTTATGGAAGTAGATATTGTTTGGCAGCTTAACTGTGACAAAATCATTGAAGAATTTGTAAGAGCAAGGAATAGAAAGAAATGTTTTTAATTATAACATGTTAGAGATGAAAGATCTATCTAAAAATAAAATGCAGTAATTTCTTTCTAATATTTAGAAACTAAACTTCTAAATATCTTTAAAGTTCTCTTTTATGACATCTTTTCATTTGTTCATTTATAATTATAGCATTTATTATGAAACAAGCTTCAAAATTGAAATATGAGCCATTTAAAGCAAAATTGGTGAAAGTCAATTTTTCATTGTGAGGATCAACAGAATGTTACGTTGTTGAAACAACTAAGTTCATTGACTCATTTTCTTTGTTGTAGAATATGTGGAATTTTTTTTTGTAGAAAGTGTGATATACAGTCAAAATCTTAGTACCCCACATCCACTAAAAATTTTATAATCCAGTTCACCTCATTCCGCTAAAATGGCATAAGCCACTTTTGTGTTCAATCGCTAGTACTATAGTCACATTTAAAAAGAAGTTACATCATGGATAGCTAAGACACACACACACGTATGTATACACATGTGTATATACTGAACTCACATATACCCTTCGAATACGTGAGTAAACAGAGGGGGGAACGCCACGGATTATCAGTGTTTAGGGCCCTCATATGCCTTAATCTGGCCCTGTTGAACACAATAGCTTCTGTCAAACAGTTATCACTTGCTTTCACTCCCTGTTCTGGAAAAGTGTGTGTGTGGTGGGGGTAGGGGAAGGGATGTCTTCACAGCCTGAGAATTGCTACCCTGAGAAGCTGGGCCTTCCTGGACATCAGAACGGCCAGAGGCCAGGACAGGATGTCCATCACTGGTCAGGGCAGGGACTTCACTCTTGGCCTGACCACCTGGCTGGCAGTGGCTGGGGCAGTGGCTGGGCAGTAATGAAGTCTAGGTGTCGGCTACAGTCCAGGGATGGGGTGGGCGAGGTCTTTCCATGGTCTCTCCTGGGGCAGGAGCCCGCCCCACACTGCCCCTGTGCTGTGACCAGAAAGCCAGGCTGGGGCCCTCCCTGCTCACCCCCAGAAGCCCACGGCTCACCTGCACCTTTGGCCCTCCTCCATCTCCGGGGCTGGGCACTCACATTGCCATTCTGTGGCTCCCTTTTCCAAGCGGCAGGAATGCTTGGCCAGCCCAGAGGAGCGGACCATGGGGTGCCTGACTTCTTTGTGCAAACACCTGAAGACAGCCTTATGACAAGAGTGGCTTTATTCTGAGCCCCCTCAGAAGGCAGGCTGTGGACCAGAGAGTGGGAGTTACATGGAGGAAGGGTGTGTCATGATAGATGAGGAGGAACCTCTCTGTGGTTGGAATTGTCCAATGAAGGGGATGACTGTCCCAGCAGTAGTGGCTTCGTGTCCCCAGAGGGGCTTAATCAGAGACCGGCCCACTAGATGTCTGGGGTCATGGGGCTACAGAGGGGGTCCCTGCCCTGGGGGGAGAGACTCCTCAGACCCTTCTAACCCAGAGGATCTAAAATCCTCTCCATTTCAGTGATAGTTTCCTCAGCCTTATGATCTTTGGCTTTTAATGGACCTTATGAAGTTTTGGAGTCCCTGGGTACTGCAAATGGTTATTAATGCACTCAGCAGCTAACCGAAAGGTTGGAGGTTTGAGTGCACCCAGAGGTGCCTCGGAAGAAAGGCCTGGCAATCTACTTCCCAAAAAGCAGTCCCTGAAAACCCTGTGGAGCACAGTTCTACTCTGACTTACATGGAGTCATCATGAGTCAGAGTTGACTCAGCGGCAGCTGGTTTTGGTTACTGGTATGAATTTTTAGAGAATCAAATGTTTTGGGAAGAGCCGTACAGTGAGGGAGCACGTTATTGCATTAAAACATGAGTCAGTATTCTCAAGTGGAGGCTGCCAGAGCCGCCCTGCTCAGTGGGTGTGTGAAATCTGCGCGTCCCTTACCCCTGAAGCACTGGAGGGAGAAGACACCCACACCACACCGGCACAGGGACATTTTGGCAATTTTTTTTTCCCACTTTAACTTCTCCCTGCCAATGTCTAGGGTTCTGGTGTAACCACCTCTTGCAATATCCCAGCCTCTCCAACTTTCCCCAAAACATCTGAGAGGTTTCAGAAACAGGCCTCGTGATTCCTAGCCCGGCCCCAACTTCCTCCAGAGAGTAAGTAGCCCGGTGAGTAAACAGCAGCTTCCCGACCTGCAGCGGGTAAGTCCAGGAGTCTCCCGGCAGCCCGCCACTCAAAGCCTGGGCTGCGGCAAACTTGTTATCTGCCTGCCCATCTCCCCAGGCCTCTCGTGTGTCTGTATGAGTCTGCAGACCCTAGGAGAGTCGGGGTGGCTTTCCTCCTTGCTGTGAAATGCCAAAATCCTGAAGTCCAGACTGTACAACCAAGCACTCTCTCTCCTATAGTCCAGATAAGGGAGGACATCTTGGTGAAACCATGTTACTTTGTGTCCCTCGACATCCACTCCTATCATGGAGGCTTGGTGGCTGGAGCCAGATGGCAGGGACCAGTGCCAGCCTGACTTGCAAACATGGCAGATTTCAGGCAGATGCTTCTTCATTTCCCAGGACAGAGAGGGTGGCACTCACAGCACAGTCAAGGACCCCGGGCAGGGCCCACAGTTCCCCTTGCCGTGTGCAGGGAAGATGTCACAAGCAGAGCCAAGCAGGCCCTTCTCTGGACAGCAGCCAGAGGGCAGGGTCTCCAGCGGAGGTGGGGGCTCTGTAGCTGCTGAGGATCTAGAGGCATCAGGGTCCCGAGATGCCTCCCCCAGCGGGCACCGTGAGGACCTTGGGTCCACTGTGAGGGCTCTGGAATCAGGAAGGGCTGGCAGCCCCAGGAGGGCCCCACTCAGTCTACTGGGCAGGGGGCCAGGCTGGGCGCCCACTCCGGGCATATGCAGGCCAAGCAGGCGGCTGCGGTGGCTGAGGTGGGTTTCCCGCCGGTAATGGCCTGGCCTCAACTTTCCTTTTGACTAAAAGAAAATGCCACAGGCGCTGGCTCCGTGCCCACGGGGGCCACATTTACAGTAACTGGGGGCTGGTGGCACGCCAGCAAGGCCTGGTGGGCGTCACCTCTGAGGCCAGGGAGGAGAGTGAGAGTGCGGGGGCACGGGTGAGGCTTGGAGCCAGCCTCGAGGCGTGACCCCTCCCTTGGCAGGCTGGCCCTTGTAGGTGTGCCTGGTCCCCAGGGCTCCTGGAGAGGTGCTCTTCTTGGCAGAGAAGAAGGCAGGCTGCCTGGCCCCTGCTTGTTTCTGTGGCCCTAGCAAACATCGCTTCAGATCCAGCACCCTGGGACTGTCTCTTCTATACAAGCCCAGGGTTCCCTGGGGGCTGGGTGGGGCAGCTAGGTAGGAGGCAAGTGGAGACCACAGAAACCTCTGTGATGACACTGGAATCACCACTAGATGCTGGGACCTCAGGTCAGGCCAGATGGACCTCCGCTCCTCAACTGGGTGCCTTTAGTGCTGCCCTGGCTTCCCAGGGGCACCCAGCTGCCCTCCAAGCCCCCTCCCAGGCCAGGCCTCACTTTTCGGAGGCGGTTATGGGCAAGGGCTCCTCCTTCCCTTCCTCTTCCACTGAGAACATGACATCCCTGTAGCTGCCCAGAGGCTGCTCTGTCTCCTGCTCCGGATAGTGGGGGGTATGGTCTACCTCCAGCTCCTCCTCGAACTCAGGCCCCACTGGCATTGTCAGGCCCCGGCTCTCAGGCACCTCGGTCTTCACTGTCCCCACAATCACCGTATCAGCCTTCATAATGTAGATTTTCTCTGCAAGGCAAACGAAAGCGTGAGCAGGGAGACCAAAGCCCAGCTGGGATGCGGACTAGGAGAAGGAGGATGGTTGCATCCCAGGTTCCAGCTCTGCCACTCCTGATCCACGGGGCCCCAGGTGGATGACACAACCTCTCTGGGAACAGTAAGCCCCGCCCACCTTACAGGTGTACTGAGGCTCAGAGGAGGTGAAGCAGCCAGAAGTGTACCCTGAGGAGTTAGGAAAAGCCCTCTGGTGCTTATAGGAAAGGACACACAGAAAAGCTGCCACCAACGCTGACAACAGTAACACAGGTGAATGCAGACCTACACTAACTCCTGGGGTGCTCACCTTCCTCCTGTGAGGCAGACACTCTATTATTATCCCCATTTTACAGGTAAAGAATCTGAAAAGCAGAGGGATTAAATACCTATGCAAGGTCACCAGGTAATTAGCAGAAATCCCCAGCCTGCCTGGCTGCCTCCTCTGCTTCCTGGGGCAGAGGGGGGCAGGCAGTGGCCAGGGGCCAGGCAGCCTGCCTTCTCCTCTGCCAACAAGAGCACAGGCAGTGTCTGTCCACGTGCCTAAAGCATGAACCTAGGGCGATCAACTTATCCCAGTTTGCCTGGGGCTTTCCTAGGCTTAGTACTAAAAGTCCCTGGTCCCAGGAACCTCCTCAGTCCTAGCCAAACCGGGACAATTGGTCACCCAACACAAACCTCAAATTATCAACAGCAGCCAATGATTCTAGCAGTTTTGCTCTGGGCCCGTATACGTCAGTGTTGATGGCTTATTGCTGCTCTCGCACCTGTTTCCTTCACAGCTGAGCTCACCTAGCACTTAGTAGGGGCTGGTAAATATCACTAGGATGAGTGTCCGAGCTCACCCCATAAAGATACAATCCCATGTAGTCCTCACCACAGTCTGATGCCAGAGCGTCCAGCATTCACATTTTATAGAGGGGGACACGGAGACCAGGGGAGCTGAATAAATTGCCCAAGAAGCCAGGAAGTGGGGAAGCCTGGACCTCCCTCAGGTCACCCACTCTAACCACCAGCGGCCCAGCCTCAAGCTCGGGGAAGGTCAAGCTCCTCACTACTCTGCCCTGGGGCTCACAAGGGTGAATGAGGAAGCTCGCAGTGGAACTTTAGAGCTGGGGTATGGGGGGCTCAGAGATCCCTGCCTCTCTGGGTAACCCAGTTACATTCCTCTATTCAAGAACCCCAAAAAGATTCTCAAGGGCCCTTGCACCCTCAGCCCCACTGCATAACACTGGCTCTTCTGTTTGTTTTTAACACCTCCAGGGAAAGAGAGAGAGAAGTGCTCAAAACAGCAGCAGGAGAGAGAGAGAGAGAGACAGAGACAGAGAGAGAGAGAGACAGAGAGACAGAGAGAGAGAGACAGAGAGAGAGAGACAGAGAGAGAGAGACAGAGAGAGACAGAGAGAGAGAGAGAGAGAGAAAGGCCTCAGGCCCCAGCCACACACCCTCCATCAGCCCTGTGCCCTCACCCTGGGAACCCTGACTGGAGGGGCTGGGCAAAAGAAGGGGGTCAGAAGTGGTGACAGAGAGGGGGGCCAGAAAGTGAGAGAGGACAGAAGAGGACAGATGGGGGAGGGGGATAGAGGAGGAGAGAGACGGGGCAGAGGGAGAGACCTGGGCATGGTGGAGGGAGTTGGGGATGATTAGGTAGAAGAAGCCCAAGCTGGGGGCCACCTCTCACATCCCATGAGTCCTGACCCTCTGGCTCTGCCCCATCACAAGCTGCCCACCCTCTAGTTGGGGAGGGGGTTCCTCCAGAAGCTGCTTGGGCTTCCTGCCCCCCTCAGGGCTCCAGAATCCAGGGAGCTTGCCTTGGTGGGGTAGAGCTCCAGGCACTGCACTCAGCGCGGACCCAAACCTTCAAATTAGGACTTCTTAGAAAATTTGAGGGAGAAGCTTTGGATGGTATTTCCCAAAATCCTTTTTTTTTTTTCCAGATAAAACCTGCTGAAATCTATAATTCCAATCATTTCAGTTTGGTACAAAAGACTGCCCTGAAGAGTTCTATCCGCCAGTGTCTGCCATAGAAATGTGCAGAACAGATTAGCAATGCCTCTTTAGTATTATCTGAGGGCCAGTTACCCCTTCAGAAAAGATAGAGGTGGGCTCACCAAGGTCCCACATCCTGGGGGCTCACAGCCAGGTTTGGAGGGGTGCGACAGTCCTGTAAACACAAAGTCACACAGCTGGGCACTGAGGGAACTCGGTGGGGCGGAGAGCCTGGGGTCGGGGAGAGGGGGTTGGGGAAGGCAGAGTAGAGGGGCATCTGGCCTAGACGGGAGAGAGGAGAGGACAAGGAAGGCTTCCTGGAGGAGGAGGCACCAAGCAGGGCCCTGTAGGACGTCAGGAATTAACTAGATTCAAAGGGGTGGAGTTGGCTGCTCCAGAAGGAAGCAGCTCCCACAAAGGTCTGGAGGTGAGAGAGAGCTCAGTACATTCAGGAAACTGCCATTAAGTAGGAGGATCAGCCCTATGGACCAAGGATGGGATGTCAGGAGGAGAGGGGAGGCTGGTGGGCAGGAGCTGGAATTAGGATCCTGATGGTGACAGGGACCACTAGAGGGTTTGGCAGGAGTGTGATATGGACAGGTATGAATTTTGGGGAAAACACTCTAGCTGCACCAGGGTAGAGAGAGGCAAGTGAGGAGGCAGGGAGACCCTAGGAGGACGGAGACCTGTCCCAGCTGGAGGGCAGCTTTAGCTCTAGAAGTGCTGGGCACCTGGGCCAGATCCAGCCGTGGTGACCCTGCAGTGACTCCAAGGCCAGTGGTGGCGCAGGGAAGCCACGGGCTTCCGAGTCCAGCAGAGCTGGGGTCGAGTCCCAGCTCTGCCACTTAGCAGCTGTGTAATGGGAAAATCATTTCATCCCTCAGGGCCTCAGTTTCCCCAGTTATAAAACAGAGAGAAAGATACCACCCTCAAAAGGCTGTGTAATAAATAGGAGTGACAGAATGTGTGTGACAAATGGCAGGTCTGTGGCCACTGATGTGTCGTCCTCCTGTCCCCACGAGGGGCAGGCTCTTCGTTCGAGTGGGGGTAGGGGGAGGTGGTCACTTTTTACTTTAATGACAGCGAGCACCGGGCTCGGGACTTTGCATGCATTATTTCATTAAACTGTCACAGTAGTCCTAGGAAGTAAGTGCTGCTCCTATTCCTATTTTACAGAAATGGAAACTGGGGTAAAGAGGCAAAGTGAAGCAAGCTGCGCTGTACAGTAAATAATACTTAACTCTTTCATAAAATGTAGACGCCCTGGTGGTACAGTGGTTAAGCACCTGGCTACTAACAGAAAGATTGGCAGTTTGAATCCACTAGCTACTCCATGGGAGAAAGATGTGGCAGTCGGCTTCCATAAAGATTTACAGCCTTGGAAAGCCTATGCCTCCTCTGTCCTATAGGGTTGCTATGAGTCGGAATATTTGGTTTTGCTTTGGTTTTCACAAAAATCATGTCCTACTTCCGGCCCCAGGCCCCTTAGTTTTTGCCCCGAGGCCCAGGACATAGCACCATCTCTCCCCCACCCCACCCCCCACCCCTCTGAACCTGTCCCCACCAGGACCCCAACCAGCCGACTCACCAATCTTGTTATTGGTGTGCTCTGTGGTGGCCCGGGGCTCAGGGATGTCCCTGGGGGATGAGGGACCTTCAACTGGGCTGGCCTCCAGCAGCCTCAGGCTCTCCAGACAGGAGGTCCCCATGCTGGGGCAGGTCTCCACAGCCGGGACGCTCATCAATCCCTGCTCTTCTGGGCCTGGCTCTACCACCGACACGGTCCTGCAGGGCTGTTGGGGGGAACAAGGAAGTGGGTGCTGATGTGGGGTACCTCAGTTTTTCTTTGTTTCTACAGACCCCCTGTGTGAGTCTTCCTCTGTGCTTTAAAGCTGCCAGGAGCTACTACCCCCCAGGATTCTCAGCCTTGATAGCACAGCACACTCATGTGTAGATTTCGGGGTGATGTGCTGCTTTAACTTCAACTAACAACAAGAAAAATAGCCAGCATCTTATATGGTGCTTACCCTGTTCTAAGTCTTTGACATTTTTTAATTCTCAATAACCACCCCATTTTACAGATCAGGAAACTGAGGACCAGAGGAGTCAAGTAACTTGCTCAGGGTTATACAGTTAGGAAGTGTCTAGGCCAGAACTTGAACCCTGGCAGTCTCATTCCAGAAAAGTCTGTAAGTGCCAGCTCCTGGCCCACCACCTCCTGGAAGCCCTTCCATTGCACCAGTCCCTGGTCCCCAGTGACACTCACTGCAGCAGTGAACCACACTCACTGGAGACCCCACCATACGAAAACCTGGCCCTGCACCTTCTGAGCTGTCCTCACACCCTGCACTGGCCCTGGGGAGCTGGGCACAGGGCTGGGTGCCAGGGCAGGGCTCCCATGCTGTGTGGCTGTAAGAATCGTGGTAACATTTGCAGAGCCCCCACCCAGTGCATGGCACACTGTAAGCGTTGACAAAAGGTAGATGAATATGTTCTCACTATTAGGAGGCAGCCTAGGGTGATAGTCAGAGCATGGGTCTTGGAGTCACACAATCCAGGACTCAAATCTGAATTGATCTACCCTTTCCAGCTGTGTGGCCTTGGGCCCCCACCTCACCTCTCCGGGCCCCCGTGTTTCCTCTTCTGTAAAATTGGACAACAGTACCCACCTCTGATCACAGGAGATAACTTCCATAAAGCACAAAGCAAGCTGCCTAGTGCATAGTAAGTGCTCAGCATATGGTAGCTAATATATATATATATTTTTTAATTCATGCTGTTGATTTCTTATTCCACCTTCAAGGATGAGACTCATGGAATAGTTACAGAGAAAGAGAGAAAATATGCACAGGCTTCCTTCTGACTAGACCTGGCACCCAACGTGGCCAAAACCAAATCTGCTGTCTGGCAGGCCCCTCTGGAAGTCCCCTGCACGCTAAGCCAGGAGCTGGAGACTGCTGTGGGGGCAGGGAGGAGGGCTGAGGCCCTACGCCAGGCCCCCCCCACCACCAGTGCCCAGAGCTCCCTGCAGTGGGGCAGACTCTGCCTGAACCTGCAGGGCAGTCACATCCCCAGGCTGTTTGGGAGACACATGATCTGCCCTACAGGTCTCAGTTAGGGAAGAAGTCAGATTTAGAGGCATGAAGCTGACATAGGGGCAAGGGAAGGGTTGCTTACTGTGGGCTTCCTCCCAGGCTTGGAATCTGGAAAAAAAAAAAGCAGAGATTTCACCACAGAGACTCCGGCAGCCACCTGGCCCCACCCACCAGTTGTCAATGGCCCCCGGGATGGTTGGTGGTGCTGAGCTCCACCCAGAGGCCAGAACCTTGGTCTGGAGAACAGTGGATGGGTTTGAGAGTCAGCATCCTCATCCCCGCAGACCTGGGACACAGGGGTTCACTTCTCCGCGTCAGCCTCCCCAGTGTCAGGCAGTCATCGGGGTTGGCAGCTCTGGGGAACCACTGTGCCCTGGCCATGCCCACTTCAAGCGGACTCAGCCAATCAACCCTGGGGACCCCCCCAACACACTGTGATGGGGAGCACAGAAGTGTCCTTCCCAACCAGAGCCAAGAAGACTTCTGTAGGGTCAGAAGTGGGTCTGCCCCTCTCTGCAGACTCCGGGACCTAGAGAACCCAGAGCCTCCCAAAGTGCCATGTGGAACTTGTAGGGAGGACCTCACTGCAGGTGACAGAGAGAGGATGGAGCCTGGGGACCTTGGCTGAACCCTATATCCAGACATGGCTGAGGCCAGTTCACTCTGGGGTCTTTTGGGCTCAAGCCAGCTTGGGTTCAGTTTTCTATTACTTTCTATAGCTTCTCAGTCACCCCACTTCCCTCGCCCTTTGTGGGCTCAGGGGGTATTTTAATTTCTGGCAGTGATTCTTAGGGTACAGCCTTTATCTTCCCATCCCACGCCCCCACCCTCCACTCTAATTTTTCTTTCATATTAAATAGGGTGCCAGGTCACGGCCAAGTGTATACAGACATTTAACCACGGCCCACTGGCCTTCCAAGAACACCAGAGGGGGTACCCAGGCATCCAGTCTATCCAAAAGTAAATCAACTCCCAGTCGCAGAGGATCTTTGTGGGACACACAGCATTTAACAACCCTCAAGGAGGCCATCCACAGATTCTTGGAGTGTGTCTTGTTAGATGTCCATGTCTGACTAGAGAGATTGGCTACGAGATGCCAGTATGCAGCTAAGTCACCTCCAGAACACACTCTGATTTCATTAGCTCCAGGGAGCCGTCAGCCGTGGATCCTAGCTGAACACTCGCTGAAGGCCAATCAACTAAGATAGCACAAGCAAGACTGACAATAAGAAAATGCCGCTGAGACACCAGGTCAGTCTGGGAAACACCCTTAAGTGTGCCTTTTAAATGGAAGTGAGCATCAGCAGGTAGAAAGCGTCGAATGGGGAAATAGACCAAATGATGGTTGTTATAGGTTGAAATGTGTCCCCCAAAAAGATATGTTCAAGTCCTAATTCCTGGTACCTGTCAATGTGGCCTTGTTTGGAAATAGGATATTTGCAGATGCAATGAAGTTAAGATGAACCAAAACCCATCGCCATCAAGTCAATTCTGACTCACAGTGACCCTATAGGACAGAGTAGAACTTCCCCCATAGGGTTTCCAAGTCTGTACATCTTTATGGAAGCAGACTGCCGCATCTTTCTCCCGCAGAACAGCTGGTAGGTTCGAACTGCTGACCTTTTGGTTAGCAGTCAAGCACTTAACCACTGCATTATCAGGGCTCCTTAATTAAGATGAGGTGAGTCTTAATTCCAAATGACTGGTGTCCTTAGAAACAGAGGAGAAGAGACACAGAGACATATAAGGAAGACAACCATGTGAAGATGGACATAGAGATTGGAGTGAAGCTGCCACAAGCCAAGGAGTGTCTGGGGCTACCAGAAGCTCAGCATTTTTCTCAAGCTGAAAGAACTGAAGAAAAAATTCAAGCCTCCAGTTGCATTATTGAAGGATTCTATGGGGAAAATATTAAATGACACAGAAAGCATCAGAAGAAGATGGAAGGAATACAGAGTCACTGTACCAAAAAGAATTAGTCCATGTTTAACCATTTTAGGAGGTAGCATATAATCAAGAACCAATGGTAATAAAGGAAGAAGTCCAAGCTGTACTGAAGGCATTGGCGAAAAACAGGCTCCAGGAATTGGCAGAATACCAGTTGAGATGTTTCAACAAACAGATGCAGCGCTGAAAGCACTCACTCGTCTATGCTAAGAAATTGTGAAGACAGCTACCTGACCAACTGACTGGAAGGGATCCATATTTGTACCCACTGGAAAGAAAGGAGATCCAACAGCATACAGAAATGATCGAACAACATCATTAATATCACACGCAAGTAAAAGTTTGCTGAAGATCATTCAAAAGCCGTTACAACAGTACATCAACAGGGAACTGCCAGAAATTCAATCTGGATTCAGAAAAGGACATGAAACAAGGGACATCATTGCTGATGTCAGTATTATCCTGCCTGAAAGCAGAAAATACCAGAAAGATGTTTACGTGTATTTTCGGTTGTGTGGATCATGACAAATTATGGATAACACTGCAAAGAATGGGAATTCTAGAACACTTAATTGTGCTCATGAGGAACCTGTACTTAGACCAAGGGGCAGTTGTTCAAACAGAACAAGGGGACACGGTGTGATTTAAAGTCAGGAACGGTATACATCAGGGCTGTATCCTTTCACCATACCTATTTAATCTGTATGCTGAGCAAATAATCTGAGAAGCTGGAATATATGAAGAAGAATGGAGCATCAGGATTGGAGGAAGACTTATTAATAACCTGCAATATGCAGATGACACAATCTTGCTTGCTGAAAGGGAAGAGGACTTGAAACTCAGCCTTCGGTATGGATTACACCTCAGTATAAAGAAAATGAAAATCCTCACAACTGGAACAATAAGCAACATCATGATAAACAGAGAAAAGATTGAAGTTGTCAAGGATTTCAGTTTACTTGGACTCACAATCAACACCCATGGAAGCAGCAGCCAAGAAATCAAACGGTGCATTGCATTGGGCAAATCTGCTGCCAAAGATCTCTTTAAACTGTTAAAAAGAAAAGATGTCACTTCAAGGACTAAGGTGCTCCTGACTCAAGCCATGGTATTTTCAGTCGCCTCATATACATGTGAAAGCTGGACAATGAATAAAGAAGACCAAAGAAGAACTGATGTCTTTGAATTATGGTGTTGGCAAAGAATATTGAAGACACTATGGACTGCCAGAAGAATGAACAAATCTGTCTTGGAAGAAGTACAGCCAGAATGCTCCTTAGAAGCAAGGATGGCAAGACTTCATCTCACATGCTTTGGACATGTTATCAGAAGGGACCAAATCCTGGAGAAGGACATCATGCTTGGTAAAGTAGAGGGTCAGTGAAAAAGAGGAAGACCCTCAATGAGATGGATTGACACAGTGGCTGCAACAATGGGCTCAAACACAGCAGTGATTGAGAGGATGGCGCAGGACAGGGCAGTGTTTTGTTCTGTTGTGCATAGGGTCACTATGAGTTGGAATTGACTCAATGGCACCTAACAACAACCAGAAGCTGGAAGAGACAAGGAAGGATCTTCCCCTAGAGCTTTGAGAGAGCATGGCCCTGCTGATGGCTTGATTTCAGACTTCTAGTTTTGATTTAGAATATCTAGTCTGTACCACAGTCTGCCAAAAGAATGAACAAATTGGCCTTAGAAAAAATACAACCAGAATGCTCCTTAGAAGCAAGGATGGCGAAACTTTGACTCACTTTGGACATGTCATGAGGAAAGACCAATCACTAGGAAAGGACATCATGGTTCGTAAAGCAGAGTCAAGAAAAATGAGGGAAACCCTCAATGAGATGGATTGACACAATAGCCACAAAAATGGACTCAAACACACCAACGTTCATGAAGATGGTGCAGGACTGGGCAACACTTCCTTCTGTTATACATAAGGTCGCCATGAGTCAGAGCTGACTAAACGGCAAGTAACGAAAACAGCCTCCAAGACTGTGAGAAAATAAATTTCTGTTGTTTTAAGCCACTCCTTTTGTGGTGATTTTCCTACAGCAGCCCTTGGCAATTAATACAATGGTCAGAAGAAGTTCATGTGTAAAATAACTCTACTGATTCTTGATTTAACAAACACTCCAGGCCAAAAAAAAAACCAAACTCATTGCCGTGGAGTCAATTACAACCCATGGTGACTCCAGGTGTTACAGACGAAAACTGAGCTCCATGGAGTTTTCTTGGCTGTAATCTTTATAGAGGCAGATCACCAGGCCTTTCTTCTGTGGCATTGCTGGGTGGGTTTGACCTGCCAATCTTTTGGTTAGCACTTGTGCACAGTTTGTGCCACCCAGGGACCAACACTACCGCTAATAACTGCTGCTCCCGGCAAAGTGGTCACCTTGGGGAACTGTACTTCGTTCCCACAAGGCACCCATTGCTCAAGCCACCACAGAGGAAGCGCTCTTCTGGCCTGAAGCACATCCTCTTAAACAATGTCAGAGAAGCCAAATCCTTGTCCCTTGAGAGTGATTTTGAGTTTTGAAAACAGCCAACTATTATTTGGTGCCAAGTCATTGGTGTGGCCAGGGACTGAAAAAAAAAGAAAGAAAAGTGAATGTGTGTGACAACGTAACAAGATGAAAAATAAAAATAAGAGTGCTTAAAACTCAGTGTTAGAGACGACGTGAGTAAACAAGGGCACTAGGCTGCCCAGGCCCAGTGGCAAATTGGTTCCACCTTTCTCAAGAGCCATCTGGCAGTGAAAACCTTACATCCTTTGACCCAGTAATTCCTCTTTAGGGAACACATCCTCAGGAAATAACCCAGAAGAAATAAAAAAGGTGTGCCCAGCAGTAGCATTTATAATCACCAAAAAACGGAAAACAAGCCAAGTGCCAAACAATGGGGCAGCTTTGCAGGCACTGGGTGGGGGGCGGGGGTGGCAAACTGGCCATGACCCTCCAGCCAGAATGACCTCACCTCTCCAAGCCTCAGTCCTCTCCTCTGGGAAATGGGACATAGCACATCAACTCTGGAGGGGCTTTTTGAAGAGTAAATAAGGTATCTAAAGTTAAGCTTTTGATACTGAGTTCCATAGGGTTTTCTTGGCTGCAATCTTTATAGAAACAGATTGCCAGGCCTTTCTTCCATGGTGCCACTGGGTG